ATATTTCTTTTTTTTTTTTTCCCCTGAATCAGTTAATCCTTGAGAAGTAAAGCAGCTCTGTGAATGAGAAGAAAAAAAGTTACCCTCACTGGGATTACAGTGTTTACAGGCAGCAAGTGTGATCAATGCTAAGCTGTTTGATATCTCCAGTGATGATTCTCCTCCTCTCCCACCCTCTGCTCTACCCAGACCACGTGTACTTCATCCCTGCCCTGTGCATAGGACATTTGGCACCACGGGCTCCTGCTGAAAACCAGAACTTGCTTTCAGACTTCAAGGAGCTCTGGAAACCTCCAGACATACAAGAGAAAAGGTTGAATGCATTTCCTCCCTAGTTTAAATTTCTGTCTTTATTCCCTGATGCAAAACCTCAGTTCCCACTGAGTTCTAGGTGAAATAATTACTTTCATGTACAAACAGGAGCAAAAGAAGTTTTTAAGCAGTGTGGAGTCTGATGTGAGAATTCTATTAGGTTTCAGTGGGTACCTGCTTGACCTTGTAAATTGAAACTCTGAAGGGTCACTGTGTCTTCTCATGGTATTTAATTTTCTGTGCTTCAGCAGCAGGGGGTGAAAGGGAGCTGGAATAGGTTTATTCAAATCTGTGTAGGAACTGAATGAGACAAAAATAACTATTTTTTAAAAATGGCACTAATCAGAGCATTGCTCTTTCTGTTCTTCCTCACCTCTGCCTTTTTGGCTCCTGAACCAGGTTTGAGTATTGACAGGACAGATCAGCTTGTTGGGGTTTATGAAATCCTCTGTCTCCCCCACATGCTTGTTTTTCACTTTTAGGATTATAATGGAGACCTTGATTTGTATCATAACGATGAAGTTGGGAATATAATATAATGGCCACTCTGAGCTGCCTCACTAACAGGCTAATTCCTGAATTTAGGATCACTGTAAATGCCATGTATGTTCATTAAAGGCATTAATGTAATTAATAATAAAGAAAATGCCAGGTTGATATAATTTGGCTTATTACCTATTCCCAAGAACATCAGCTCCTGGGAAGAAGCATTTTGGTGGCAGGGAGTGGCATGATTTACTGCCACCTCCCATTGCCCCTCTCCCAAACCTCCAGCACATTCGTTATGCCTCAAATATTCTTACATTGAGTTTTTTTCCATTGGTCTAATTATAAACTTCATTATAATTGTTCATTAGTTTTATTTTGTTCAATTAGCTTAACAAGTTGCCAGATGAAATACAAGACTGGCAATTAGCTTGATCTAATCGTAATGAGCCACTCAAACTGGGTCACCAAATATGTTCGTTTATAGCACTTTTTTTTTTTTCCCCCCAGTTGGTGAAAAATAACAAATATTCAGAGCATCTCCTGATCTAAGGAGTGGAAACTTCCCAGTAATTTATTAGAGTAGAAAAAGAAAATCAGTTGTTCTGCTCTTGGTAGCTCAGCAAGGTGCAGCCCAGGTACCTGAGTTGCCCTGGCTTACCCAGACATGGGCAGCAGCTGAATGGGGCCGCTGGTACCTCGTTGAGCCCTTGTCCTGCTGAATAAAATGAGTCACTTGAGCTGCCAGGAGGGAGGTCAGCTCTGACCTAATGTCTGTTTATCTCCTCAGATCCCAGAGAATTCCACGTTATAGTGGCTTGTGGCAGAAGGGACCTTGAAAGATCATCTAGATTGCACCTGGCTGGTGCTCCAAGGGACAATGACAACAGTGCTGTGCCCTGGTGGAAGCTGAAAGGTGAAACTGTGCTGCCTAAAGAGGGGAAAAGCCCAATGTGAGCTGAGCTGCCCCTTTTGGTGAAGGGTCTTGGGAGGCTTTGGGCAGCCCAGGAACTTGGTTTGAGCCACTCTGGTAGGATGGTTTTGGCCATGTTCAGCCCTGCACAGCAGTTGGTTTTGCTGTGAGCTTTGGATAACCCTGAGCTTTCTTTTTTTTTTTTTTTTCCAGACTTCCCTTTTGCCACGCATTGCTCAGATCGGCTCCTGTTAAGTCGCTGCTTAGCAGCAGCTCCTGGCTTGTATGGTCCAGTGGCTTACAGCAACCTCTCTTGGAAGATAATTTGGGCAGGAGAGATTATTTGGTATGAATAATTCCTCCAGCATGCTAGGCACATGACATCTAAATCACAACTAAATTGCAGGGATGAGCCGCATAGCGGTGGCTCCTTAGCAAACTTAAGTGGTGGCATTTAGAAGATTCAGCCCCGGACTCGGATTTCTCTGGGATCTTGTCCTGCAGCTGACAACAAAAAAACCACAATGAAATATTTAAACCAGCACCGAGAATACAACTACCTCTAAGTAATTCATAAAACACTGCTCTGATGTCAAGAGCAAGGGCTGATGAAGCCGTGTGCCAGTCCGAATCCATACCTCTTCCCTGGAAAATCTTGTCTACCAAGCCCATCCCTGACAGACAGATGAGTTTGGCGGTCTATTAGTGCAACCTCTTAAAATTTCAGGCAGGGACTTTGTTCCATGCAAGAAGGGGGCGAGGAGGTGCTCGTCCTCGTGGAAAGACAAATCCCCCACCTCAGCGCACCGACAGCCGCTCTTTGCTCCTGAAATCCCCTTTGATGCGGCGCTGTCTCTTGGCTCTATCTCTAATTATCCGCGCTGCCAGCTGGGACGCGGCGGTGTCAGCGCTCCGCTCGCTGAGCGGGCTCAGATTAAAGACCCCGAAGGCGCAGAACGGGAGGAAATTCACACCTCTGCCTTTCGCGCCGCAGACAGATCCCTCAGCTCTTCAAACGCCATCCAAAGGCATGTCTTCGACTTAATGAACGCACCCGGAGGTAGCGGCGGCCTCTGGGGCTGCTGCAAACACGCGCACACCCCTTCCAGAGCATCCTCACGGCGCTTTTCGCTCCAGCCTCCGCACCCCGACCTGACCCTGTGCTGCACCGGGAAAGCCTGAGCGCTTTAATGAGCGGAGGGATGCAGGAGCATCCGCTATGCCATTGGATGTCCCCTGCCTGCCTGGAACAGGTGACACCAGGCACAAGGGAACAATTCCAGAAGCTGGGATGTGTCCATGTGTCTCCCCCCGGTACTTGTGGGCTGTGACCCAACAAGCGCCAGCAGGACCCGTCTGCCCAGTGCCAGGAGAGGACTGCACTTGAATAAGTCCTGTGAAGAAACATCTCTACTCTTAATTCACTTTTCTCACCTTATATTAGTTTTATTCCTGCTGGGTTTTAATCAGGCAGGGGCAGATGTAAACAGACTTGTAATACGCTGCTGAAATCGCGAAAGGGCTGTCTGACACGTGGCTTTGCATTGATTCAAGTAGTTACAGTCATAATATCCATTAATTTTTGTAGTGCTCCTGGGGGCAAAAGTCTCTCCTGTTCATTAGAGAGACCTGAATTTCTAAGGATCCCGGTGTTCGACACAGCCTGTTTGGCACTCCTGCTGTGAAAAAAATCCCCTTGTTTACACAGCTGATGGCCTGGGGTGGGGACGGTCCTGGCACCGGGGCCACCTCCCCTGCGTTTTATTTAAGGCTCTGAAATGCTCCTGCTTCGAGATCCCAGAGCACTGCTGAGAGGCGAAGGGTTGGCGGAATGCTTAAAAAAAAAAAAAAAAGCCACATATATTCCAGGCAAAAATTTTCTCAGTATAAATGTTGAGGCAAAGCGGCGTCACAGATGACAGGTCTTCAAAGCCGAAGCACGAGCTACGCTCGGGGAGGGAGGAAACCAGGCAGATCCCTCTGCCTTGATTAGCGAGGCTTTCCAGGCGCCGGCTCGCTCCCTTTCTGTCTCCGGGCTGCCTTTGAAACAACCCCTTTGACGGCTTCAGGCATTTCTTAGTTTAGCTGAGAATGAGCGAACATAAGAGAAGAAATCTGTAAGAATGACAGGGCCTGCGTGTGTCTTTTATATGCATTTCTGGAGCACAAAGACTGTTTTAATGAGCCGGCACATGGCTTTGTGTGACTCCTGTTTTTAGCAACTCTGCGGTGATGGAGCTACCTGAGAAGTTTCCCGGCTGTGGCCTTCATGGAAAATGCTTCATTTTTTGGGTTGGTTTTGTTTTCTATGGAAAACCAGGTCCTGACTGATGGAGGAGTGCAGGGGCAGGAGCATCTGCTGGTCCCAATGGCACAAGGTGTTTGGGGGCTGAGCTTTCCTTACCCTCTCCAGAGCAGCTCCTCCAGGCACTGCTGTGTCCCTCCCACCCCCACAGCGTTTGCCCTGTGCCCTGCAGTGGGTGCAATATCTCTCTGTTTTTAAGCATCACTCCTTTGCTTTGCAGGGAGAACTGGAAGCAGGTGTGGGTGCCCAGGCTGAGGCCAGAGGAGGACTGCATGGTACCAGCATCTCCATTCAGGTCCATGTGGCCTTTGTGGGTGTGGGCAGACCCAAAAATATTAATTAAAAGCTCTTCTCTGTAATGTTCCAGGCAGCACAGCTCTGAGCAGGAGAGCTGAGACATCCCTGCAATCTGCACTTTGGCAGCTGCTGGGAGAAAGAGCAGAAGGTTTCTCAGAAGGAGCAGAATCAGGGCTTGTCTTTGCAACCCGGCCGTGGTTCCAAGTGGTAAATGAAGGACATATGATGGAGCAGCCACAGGCCCCAGGTTCACCAGAGGTACCGGGTATTTTATTCATTCAGAGGCATCAGAAAATGATGTAGCCAAAACATGGTATGAGATCGTTTCTCTTTATTTTGGCAAAGCTGAGAGAGTAACTCGGGTTCCTCATAATTATGCAAATAACAGCATCTACATGGCATCTGACTGATTTTCTTCATACGCAATTATTTCCTTAAAGAATACGACTGGATATTAGGAAAAATAAAGAATAATCAAAGAATGCTTTATGATATCAATTTCTGAGGGGCCTTGGGCTCCCGTTGTTTTCCTAAAGATATTAAATTGGCTTGTGAGAAGTAGATCACACGTTTAGAAATGTGTGCTGGCTGAAGAAGTGAGTTGCAGAGTTCTGCAGCACGTGCTGTGCTGCTGACTGCATGTCCCACGATGGAGCCATGGCCAGTACCCGTGTGCCAGGCCAGCATATGCAGCACTTCTTAAAAAACTGGCACATTTGCCCCCTGGTAAAATGTCTGTCCCACTGGTAATCTGTCTGTCCCACTTGTAATCTGTGCTTCTCGGGGTCTGGAGTACAGTGGTGGGTCCCAGTCCAGCTTCTCCTGAGGTCAGTGGTGAAACTTCTGATGGAAAAGGGAACTGGATCAGACCTTTCTCCCAACCTGACCTTTCCTCTGACTTCTGCATCCAAACCCCAGGACTGCTTTTCCAGGGAATGGTGTCTGTGCCTTGACAAACACCTTCCCAGTGGGCAGACATCAGGGATGGAGCATCTGGTGTCATCTGAGATGAATTCATTGCACCCAATTTTCCTCCTTCCCACCCTGCTGTGGCACATGAGCTTGCTCAGACTCTTGCTCCTGTGCTTGCAGCATCCAAACCCAGACTTGATTTGTTTGTGGAGAGAGTGCTGGAATTGAGGGCTGTGGGATGCCTGCCACCTTCCTGCTGAGCCAGTCCCAGCCCAGCCACAGTAACTGGGCAAAATCCCTCAGCAGCAGCAGCAGGGTCCTGCACAGCAGGGTCTCGGGGTACAGCGCTGGGGGACGGTTTGCAGCAGTTTGGGAAGGATGGGGTGTGAGATGGGTGGGTGCAGCCTGGCCAAGGGCAGCACTGAACCCCCTGCAGCTTCGAGAGCCTGAGAGAGCCCCAGGCTCCTGGGAGAAGCACAGCACAGGCACGCAGCACACGTTCTCCTTATGTTCATTTTCTAGGGATTTTGTTCTGTTTTTCCTCAGGGCTGAGCAGCTCCCAGGCTCCAGTGAGCCCCAGTGACTGTGTGAGTTTGACCTAATTGGGGGAGCGTTAATTCTCTGATCTTTGAGCTTCTCTGACTGGAGTCTGAGGGAGGATGAACACACTTCCCCCAGCCCTTTTGTTCTTCCCATTACCTGGGCCATGTGGTCATCCACAGTCCCATCCTCCTCAGCACCCTCCTGGTCCCTGGCACAGGTTCAGCCACGCTGGAAGCCCTCCTGCACTCCCTCCCAGCTTCTGAGCTCACAGAGCCACAGGAGCAAACCCCATTCCTTGCTACAAATATATAAGCCATTTCTCTGGGTCTGCTCCTGCTTTCTCCCTCTCTGGTGCTTCCCAACCAGAGGAAGAGAGGAGACATTGAGGGTGGGCTGTGGACCAGGTGCACAAGCCCCCTCTCCTTTGCAGGTGGCTCATGGTGGTGTCAGGGGTCACTGCCCCGGGCAGGGGGCTCGGCTGGATGCTCACAGCTGCGAGTAGTTGGCAGACACTGAGCATTTCCAGCTGGCACAAGGACATGGGTTCTGCCAAGCATCCCCCACCTACTGCATACAGGTGTTTGAAATTACACAGGCAGAAATCAGTCAGTCTCCTGCTTAGGCCTATCTTAAACCAATTTAATTAAACACAGGTAAAGGAGGGAGCAGAAATTATGGCAATTCATCACCTTTTAGTCTCTGCAGGTGCTTGGCTGCAGCGGGGCACCACAATTCTAGCTGCTCTGCACTTTTCCTCCTGGGAGCGATTAACCCGCTCCCTTCTGGCGAGTGTAGCCCTCTACTCCTCTGGGAAGAGGCTTTAAGGATAATGAGTGAGAAGATGATTAAAAGCAGAAAAAAAAAAAAAAGAAAAAGCCAAACCACTCTGATTCAGTTCCTGCCTTGCTCACAGGTTTCCTGCCTGATGCTGAGTGAATCACTTACCTCGGTGATTCACGCCGGCCCCTCGCTGCCAGGGGAACAGCGGCTCCTCCTCGATGGGTCCCTTTGGTTTCTCCCTCTGTGGATGATGCCAGGGACCAGAGAGGGGCAGATCCCCAGAGGACCCCACTTTGTGCATCGGGGGTGCCACACCACAAGCTGTAGTGTGGTTCCTACAGAGGGGCAAGGGCAGCTCGTGGGGCTTGGGCAGCCCTAAATAGTGGTGCTGATGTGCTGCCCCATCTGTAAAGCGGGGATTGCCATGATTTCTCTGCTCAGATGCTCTGGGTAGAGTGTAACAACCCACAGAGCAGGTACAGGGCACAACATCCCAAGGCTGGATTGCTGGTGGTAACTTCCATCCCAGCCACTACCAGTGACACGTCAGCCTCCATCCGACAGCCTGAGGATTCATTACCCCAGTGTTTTCCAACACTGCAAAATGGATGCAATTAAATTTTTGTAAAATCTGGGCTTTCTCTGACCTGGAGCTAACACTCCTTCTTGCAGCTTGCAAGCAAGCAGTCGGCAGACACGGTCTGACAGGACAGCATCTCTTAATGATGCTCTAGATGGAACGGGCTTCCTGAGGGGCCAGATGGACCCACTGGCAGAGTTTCTGGCTACCCGCTCTCCACACACAGCAGAGTTAAATCTCAAGCTCCACACGAGTTATAGGTCAAGGTGCCATCGTTTGTACACAAGCTCTGATGATTTAAAGGAGGAAATGCTAAAATAGGAACAACTCCATCTTGGTCCTGTCAAAGCCTCTTCCCACCCATTGTCCAGACATTTTCAGTAGTGGCAAATCCATCAGCTAAAGTAGCTGTTTCTTCACATTTCTGCCCTGCCCATTAGGGCACTCCCACAGGCACAGCCACAGAGCCAGGCTCATCATCTTCCACAGGCTGTGACGCCAGCACTCCCCGTGCCCCAGGTGGGACCTGGGTTTATTGCCTTTTCCCAGACCTGTTCACGTGTGTCCTGGTCTTACAGGTACCTGATGCCCTGAGGAATGCAGCCTCTCTGATTGCACAGTGCACCGGGGGTCAGGACTTGTCCAGCTGGGAAGAAAGTATTTTGCTTTCCTATAAGCTCCTCCTTTGTACTTAAAACGAAATAACTAACTCAGGTCGATTTCCAAAACATACAAAACCAAAATATTTCCATTCAAAAGCACCAAAAATATTTAGATTTCACCATTTTCTTCCCCCAGCCAAAGCTGTTTGTGGAGTTTGACCTGGTTTCGTGAGCTGCTTTAGTGAGCCCCAAAACTGCAGTTTTAGGACAAGTCAGGGTTGGTTTTTCTGGAATCACTGAACTGTTTTTAGGTCTGGCAGCTTTTCTTATAAAAGCTGATCTGACAAGCTTGGCCACGGTAGGAAGTGATAAAGGTACGAAGTGATAAAAGCTTTCAAATACTGTAAGACACCTCAAAGGGTAATTAAAGTAATTATTTCCCGTCATTATTAAACACTGGTGGAGGGAAAACCAGGTTAAGAAAATATTCAACTCCTGCCTCCCTTATCAGATACTGCTCTGATTCTGATGGTAATTTTGCAGACCCTTTGCTGCAGTTCCTCCTTCTCCTGCTCCCAAGTCCAGATGTGGACAGGAGTGAAAACCCATGGGCTGGCTCTCCACCCTGGAGTAGGTGTTCCCCAAGGGTTTCACCCTGTTTTGAGCATGTGATGACCCTGAGAGTCAAATTTAGCTCAAGCAATAACATTTCTGCTGTCCTGTGTGCTGTACAGAGCCTCGGGGTTACTCAGGCTCCTTATTCCCTCCAGGAAATCCAGCTCAGGATCTGGCCTCCATCCTTACCTCCCCTTAACTCCCAGCTGGGTTTTTGCCTCCTAATGCCTAAAGACATCTTTAAAATTCCCATCCTTACTGTTTCTCTAGGAGCATTCTTGAAACCTTCTATCTCCTGACATTTGAGTGATCTAAAACCCAACAGCTTTCCATAATGCTGCAGAAGTCTTTCAAGTCTTTCATAACACAGGTTGCCTCTGTGTGTAAAGTCACGCCGGCACAAGGAAAGTGCAGCAACATCCCACCGGAATAACTTAAAAGAAAATCTCCTTTGGGAAAAGAATTATTTTGAGGATCACATATGGGAGACACAGATTATGGCACCACGGGCGGCTCGGCTGTCTCGGTGGCATCTCCTCACGTCCCTTTTGATGCTCTCGCACCAGAAGAAGACAGGGAGAGACAAGGCAGGCTGTAAACCAGCTAAGGAGCTTGGAAATGGCTCAGCAGCGATATGGAAACCAGAAGCTCCAATGAATTGTGCAAACTCAGTCGAGGAGCACTTATTGTCCTGTTGCTTTGATGAGGAAGCTGTGCTTCATCAGCTGTAGCTGTTTATTATTTTGTTGATTAATCTGCAATTCTTCCTCATGCTTTGGGAGATCCTTTGCATCTCCCAATAATCCCCTTCTGTTTTTTCACGTCTCCTCTTTTAACCTCAGTGAGGGAAATTAATCCTGGTTGCCCCTGTAGTTTATGATCAGCTGGCTCTCCAACAGGTTTGCTCCCCCCACTCCCCAGAACACCTGTCATGGAGCAGCTTCTTCACCATGGGCTCACCCTGCAAGGCATTTTCTGAGCTGGAAAATCCCTAATTCTGATGCTCTTTCCCTGTGACAACTTGTGTTTCACCTGTTAATTTGTACACAGTCCCTAGTGTTCAGCCCCAAAGCCTCAGAAGTGTTTATTACTCTTTGTATTTGGTTTTGTTATGGTTTGTTTCTTGCAACACAAAGAAAGCTGCTGGAAGGAGAGAAGGCAATACCAGAGCAACTATCTTAGAGTCTGTAGGCACCACCTAATACTTGTTTCCACTTCATTTTTACCAGAATATTACCTTTCATTAAAAGGCAGTAAAAGCATTAAAGCATTTTGCAGAGGAGGGAGAAGAGTTTATTGCTTTATTAGGCTGAGAGGCACATAATGGATCGCTACAGCCTTACTATCCATCTTAAGCACAAGTTTGGGAAGATGTTAACCAGACTAGTCCTGCATGGGAAGAAAGGGACTGGGGATGAGCACCTCTCAGCCAATGCACCTGGATCTCCGAAAGTGGGATCACTTCCCTGTCAGCACTTTGGCAGTCTGCAAAATTTCTCACTTTGGATTTTCTTTCACATGTTGGATATAAAATCCTACTTAAAAATGTGCAGCAATGACGGAATAAAGTCTAAATGCTTCCCAAAGCTTCCACAAAGGTGACGTGTGTGCAGGATTTGGGCTGATGAGGGGGACAGGACAAAGTGCTGGTCCAGGGTACCCCACCAGGGGGTCAGTGCTGGGTTTGAGCTGCACAAGGGAGTTGTCTCCTATCACACTGTGCCCCTGTAAACCCCCTGAGCTGCTGCCCCCAGGGAACGCAGCTGAGCCACAGGGCAGAGTTCATGGACACCTTTGGGATGCTCTGGGTGCACAGCCCTTGGATGCCCAGCCCTTGGATGCCCCTTGCACACCCCTTTGCACATTTCTTTCATAGTGGCACAAGACCCACAGTGACCCATCCCGGTCAGAGGCGGCCCATGGACCTTCAGCTGGCTGCCCATGGCAAACCCAACATCCCCCACACTCCCCAGGAAAGAAATGGGATGTCTAAAGCAGCTAATTCGCTTATTTTGGATCACCAGATTTCCACTAGCAACTAAATATTCTGGTGGTATTTTATTAGATCAGGTACCAACAGCAGACAGCAAAACGCTTCTCATTACTGCTTTTTAGGCATTTTATATACTTGTGTATTAGTTTTACCTTTTTAGAGGAAACCAAATCTTTGGGTCCTCTTGGATTTTGTTTTTTCTCCGCCTGTGTGGGTCCAGTTCTTCCAGCCTGAGGTTGATTCCTGTGTGCTTTCATGCTGATGTACAGTTCCCTACGTGGGAGATAAGCATTTATTCACGTTCGTGTTTGTGTGGAGTGGTAAAATATTAGAGTTAAATTTTTTATGACATTCCTAGGAGTGGTTATGGAGCAAACAAGATTACAGCAAGTACTACAGAAGCGTTTGTTTATGCAGGGAGAGAAAAAAATCAAACTTGGAGACGTGTTTGCAGAACTGCTGGAGAGCCCAGGGGATGGGTTTAGTTTTCCCTCTCTTTTTGTTTCTCTACCTCGCTGGTTTTACTGCAATCACAGTAACAACTCCCAGCAATTAGGGATGAGTGGATTTTGAGTGGATTTCTGGTTCCAACACTGGGATGTGTTTACATTCCAGGGAAGGGAACACGGGCAGCGCTTGTCTCTATTGGCAAAGTGCCACCCAGGGTGATCCCGCTGGGAAGGGGTGTGTGAGAGGCTCCCCTGGGCGTGCTGCTGGTGCTGCCAGCACTGCCCTGGGCACCCTCCTCACTCCCACTGCACACTCCTTGGGACACCCTTCACACATCCCCCGGGGTGCCTTCACACCCCTTGGGGCTTCTTTTGCACAGCCCTTGGAACACCCTTTGCACAGCCCCAGGGGTCCCTTTGCACACCCCCACGCCCCTTGAGATGCTTTTTGCATGCCCCTCGGGACAATCTCACATCCTCCGGGATGCCTTTTGCAGAGTCCTCAGGATCCCCTTTGCACACCCCTTGGATGCCATTTGTACACACTTTGGGATGCTCTCACATCCCTTGGGACACCCTCACACCCCATGGGATACCCTTTGCACACTCCTTGGGACTCCCTTTGCACAGCTCCTGGGATGCCCTCACATCACATCCCTTGAGGTGCCCTTTGCACACCCCTCGGGACACTCCCACACCCCCTGAGATGCTCTCACACCCCTCGGGACACTCTCACACCCCCAGGACAGCCTTCGCACACCCCTGGGATGCCCCGCGCTCCCCCCGCGCCCGTTCCCGCACCGCGCCCGCAGCGGCCCCGCGCAGTGACGGCGGCGGCCGCCAGGGGGGGCCCGCGCTCTTCCCGACGCACGCGGCCGCCGAGCGACCCCCCCCAACCCCGACCCCGACCCCAACCTCAACCCCAACCCCGACCCCGACACCGCACTTCCCCCGCCGCCGCCCCGGGCTGCGGGACCGGCCCCGGGGCGCTCCCAGCCCACCCCGGGAGAAACTCCCGCGGGCCGCCGGCATCGGGCGGGGGGAGTGGGGGTGGCGAGAAAAGGGCTATACGGGGCTCCCCTTCTCGCTGCTCCCGAGGGGCGGTGCGGGGCACCTGTGGGGCTGTCCCCTCATCCCGTCCTGACCCTGCTCAGGTGAGCCCGGCGGCACCGCCCCCGCCCGCCCGCCCGCGCCGCCGCCGCAGCCCCCGGCACCGCGCCCGCTGCCCCGGGGGAGCCGCCGCTGCTGCTGCCGCTGCTGCTGCCGCGGGCGGGGGCGGCGCTGGTGCCCCCCCCGGGGCGGGGATGCGGCGGGGGCGGCCGTGAGCGCGGGGCCGGCGGGGAGAGGGGACACCCCCCTCCCCACGCTCGGCGGGCGCCGGCCCCGCCGCCGGACGGAGCAGGAGCGGGCGGGAGCGGGGGGGAGTGGTTACGGGCTCCGCCGCGACACCCCCGGCCCCCCCCGCCCCGCTCAGCCGCCCCTCTCCAAATAAATCAGCACCATGACTACTTCTGGGCATGGAACAAAGAGGATGCTCTCCCGGGGCCCCGCGCTGCTCCTGGCGCCGCTGCTGCTCCTGTGCCGAGGTAACCCCTGGTCCCGCCGCCGCGACCCCGGCACCGTGGTTATGTTTGTGGTTTGTTCTTTTTTACCCCCCCCTGTTTATTTTTTGTTTATTTTTAAACTCTTCTTATTTCTTTTATCCCCCCCCTCCTCCCCCATTTTTATTTATGGCTGTTTTCCCCATCCCTCCCTCCGCGGGCTCCCTCCGCAGCGCTGCGGGTGGGACGCGCTCCGAGCCCCATCTCTGGGGCGCACAAAGTTTTCCCCATCCAGCTCCGCCGCCGCAGCCCCCCCGCTGCCTCCCCGTGTGTCCCCCCGCCCCTCCCCACGCGTGTCGCGGGTTCCCGGCCTCCTGCGCGGGGGCTGCCCCGCGGCTTCAGCGGCTGCCAGCGGGTCGCTGCCGACTTGGGGGGGGGGGGGAGGAAAAGTTTGGGCTTGCCACGGCGCTTGAGAGACGGAGAAGGGTCGCGGGGTTTGGGGTTTTCCACAGTGCGGCCGACCCCCGCTCCTCCCTAATGCTCCTCGTCCTTTCTGACTATCCACGGGCGCTGGTGGGGGGAAGGATGTGCAGGAGTTAAATCCCTTCGGTAACAAAATACTCGTGCCGCCTTTCTTCCGCTTTATTCCGAGGGGAACGGGTTTCCGTGCCCTGGCGGGGAGGGGGGTCAGGCCCTTGTGTGGGCTCAGGTGGGATTCCCTTATCGCAGCCAGCTCCGAGGCAGGGAGCGCGGCTGGGAGCTGCTCTCCCTCTGTTCTTTTCTTTTCTTTTCTTTTTTTTTTTTTTTTTTCCCCCCCCAGCTGTACTCTGGAGCAGCCTTTCGGGTCCCACTGGTGGGTGTTTGCCGGGGAAGGGCTCACCCCCAGGCTGGCAGAGCCAGACCCGGTGCCCCTGGGAAAGTCTTTAGCAGGACTTTTCTCTGGGGACGTTCTTCTCTGCTTGCTCCCGTGAGCTCCCTGGCAGATGTTGTTCCTAATAAATAGGGGTTGTTAAAAGCTAATTAATTAAGGTGCATCGGTGCTGAAGTTGCTCGGGGATTCGTTTGCTTTTACTGCTCCTCGGGACGGTGCACACGTTCGGCCGTAGCGTGGAGCCTGGACTGCTGGGGAAACTTCACGGGGGTTTTAAGAGTGTGCCTAAATGCAAGGATTTTAGGTGAAAAGGGAGTGATCCACGGGAGAGGTAATAGCAGCAGCTGTAGTTTCTGGGGAGGGCACAAGGAATGCATTGAGGTAGGGAAGGTGTTTTAGGAAAGGTCTCTACAGGGGCAGTAGGAATAATTTGCTAAGAAGGAAACATCAGCCTTGATGATGTCCGTCAGAGATGATGGACAGAAAGGGGTCCTTGCTCTGCTCACCCTAAAAAGTGCTGCTTGCCCCTGCCCTCCAGCTCCCTCCTCTGCTGGGGAGTGCACAGCCACGGGGGCACTTGGAAATACTGTTGAGCACAACATGGCAACTGGGGTGCCGAGTGTGGGGTGCAAGACTTTGGGGGGCAGGGCATGGAAAGTGGGGTGCAGGTTGTGGGGAGTGCAGCACCGAGCACAGGACACGGGGCATGAGCACTGCCCTGCGGAATGATGGCTTTCTGTTGCCAGTGTGATGCCCTGTACTTGTGCACCTCTCCCTTTATTTGAGGAGAGAGTTAGGAGCAGTGAAGAAACAAGTTTTCTTTCTTTCTTTCTTTTTTTTTTTTTTTTTTTTTATTTATTGCTTAGCCACATTAATGATAATCTTTCCCCTGATATTCTCTCCTCCTGTGTGGGTAGCTACCATGGTGAGATTGGGCTGTGGGTGTAATTCTTCCAGCGCTCTGAGTGCTTAAACATATGGAAACCCACTTTGAAACAGTTTGTGGCTGCAAACCTACCGATGTACCCATTCCTCTCCGCCGCTCTGAATCCTCCCTGCACAATGTGCGCTTTAGGAACTCGCAGTGCGCTCTCAGCTCAAGCTGTGAATAACGAATCCGCTCCCCGCCTGCGCCTCTCTCGGCTGCAGCATCCCTCTGCTTTCGTAGCGGAGCTCTGCCCCTGCCCTGTCCCACCCCTGGCGTGGACCGCAGCAACGTCTGTGTGTGGAGAGGGGGTTTGGGATGTGGGGAAACCTCTTCCGAAAGAGGCGAGCGGTGGCAGAGCCCGGGAACGCCTCCCTCCGGGGCTGTGCTGGTCCTCCTGCGGCTCGCTGCGATCCAGCTCCGCTTTCTCCTCTGGATTACAGGGGTTAACGAACCGCATCTTGGGTTGGGTTGTTGCAGACGGGAGAGACACCTGCATGAGTCATGCCGCGGTGCTGCCATCCCTGCAAAGCTCCTGGCTCACACAGACGGTCGCGTTGGGCTCTTGCCATTTTTCTCTATTTATTTGCCTTTGCTCCCTCCCTTCCCCCCTCGCCGGGGCCGGCTCCGGGCAGGCTGCGTTTCGGGGACCGGAGATGCACCAGGCTGAGTTTCTCCAGCCGCTTCAAAGCGGGTGGCATTTGTTCGCCTGTCAGGCAGGTCCCCTAAATAGCTTTGTGAAGGTCCAATTAAGAGATCACTCTCCTGCCCCGGGTCTCTGGCGGCCCGGCTGCTGGCGCGCCCGGCTGCGAGCAGAGGGTGTGCGTGTGTGCTTGGCAGCCGAAGGCCGCTCACGCTGAGCTCGAGGATGTCTCTCGCTGGCAGCAGGCCCCCGTTTGTTGCTGGCATCTAGGCAGGGTTTTGGCCGCCTTCCTCGCTGGCGGCGGCGGAGCTGTCTCCGAGGTTGTATGAATAGGTATCCTGTGAGTGGCATTGGATGAGTTACCTGAATATTTTGTTTTCGTGCCTGGTGCTGTTCTCCCCCGGCTCGCTCCCCTGCCTTGCACCCCGGAGCAGGTGTGGGAACGCGGGAATGGGGCGTGCAGAGCTTATTGAACAGGCTCCTTCAGCCCCTGTAGGATGCGCCTGGGCTGCTGTCATCTGAGCGTGAGGAAGGACCTGCGAATTGCTTTTAGACTCTGGCTCCGGGGAGGTGTGGGTGGAGAGACATTATGCTTATTTTATTATGTGTCCCTGTATCACTCTACATAATATGGAGGCACTTTTTATTCAGAGGCTCTTTAGGAAGAGAAATGAAAGACCTGTGTTATCTACGGTACAATAGATTTGCAGAACTGTTGAAATGTGGGTTATTTTCCTCAGATTAGTGCAGATCTCAACATTCCATGCAGTGGCTGTTCAAAATGATGTGATTTGGGGAATAGTGGGGTAGGGGAAGAAGTCTGAAATATACTGCCTCTTGCTCCAGCATCCATTAGAGCAATATATTTCAAATACTCTGATTTTACTTCCCATCAGTGTAAATCTAGAGCAGCTCCTCTGAAGTCAGTGAAGCTACTCTGGATTTATGCATTGTTGCTGTGATCAGCATTGGGCTCTCTGGGAATGCAGGAGGCAACTGTGTGACTTGCCCTGCACAGCATTTTTCACTTCAACATCTCCTGTCACCGATGCTGCAGCCTCTTTTTCGTGTTTGAAATGGGGAAGTCCACATCACTGACTGTTTTTGGGTTTTGACTGTTTTCTTGGATTTGTGAGGCTTGGTCACAGAACTCCATTCGCTGACACTTGACTCTGGCTGATCAATGGAGTCTCCTGAGGTTTGAATGTCAAAATAGTTACATTAAAAAATAAATCAATGAAGTGCAATTAATTTGGTGTATTTTATTGCTGGGAATGATAGGCATTCCCAGCCCTATTATCTCC